TGCGATTATTGGCTCGTAAAAAGGTAAAAAAAGATAAAAAATGCAGTATTTCTTTTTATTTGAATTACCATTTTTTTCTAATTAATATGTTATTTTTAGGGAATGCGCTTAAATCAGCATGGTCTATACACCAATGTCATGCGTGATGCGAAAGGCGTAAAATATAATAAAGGCACCCTTATTGCTCAAAGAACCGAACAAGAAATTTTTGACGCGTTGGGTGTTCCTTATCGGTAAATATTATTTTTTTTATTTCTATTCTTGGTTTTCGCTTTTACTTTTTCACATTTCTATTTTAACGGTTCGTACATGTTTTTTTTTAATTTAATAGTCCTTCGAATGAAAGGATATGTTAAACTAACAGATAATGTTGAAGAAATATTTACTTAATATACAGTGGCTCATATAAGAAAGAAATCACTTAAAAGTAAGAAAAAATAAAAGAACCAGCCAAAGTCTGGTTACTACAGATCGTTATGAGAAAAATTCTTTGTTTGGTTAATTATAAAAAATTATATTAAATCGGTGAAATAAAAAGCTTAGCTCTCAAGTTATTTGGTTAAAATTTTCATATAGTGAACACCCAGATTCCAAGTTTACTATGGTGTAGGAATTCTTAAATCGACAATATGTTTCAATTTCAAAATGCTACTACTCAACATAGAGGCGAAAATTTCAAAATCTGACCGGTAACTTTGTTCTTTATAACAAGTTCTACAAAGTTACCGGTCAGATTTTGAAAATTTGCCTTTATGTTGAGTAGTAACATTTTTAAAATTGAAACATATTGTCGATTTAAGAGTTCCTGCACCATATCACTTACAAAGGAACCATTAATTAAACTTTTTAACAAAATGTTAAGATAATTTGCTTATTAAAGGAATTACAGAAAAAGAGTAATTAGATTGCAATACTTTATTTTCAGTTTTCTAATTTTTTCGCACTATTTTGTGTGCAACAAAAATCTAAAAAAGAACATTTCATTTCTGGTAACCGAGGAATTCTTTGCTTTGTACGGTATCTAATTGCATGTCAAAGACCATAACAGATCAATCATTTCTGTTATTTCAATGTATAATTTGTTACGTATACTTTTAAATATATTGGATACTTTTTAGAGTTCAGTCACTACCTTATCTATTAAGTCATTGAGTTATTTATGAATTGCTTTAAGGGAACTGACAGATATTATGTAATATTGAGTTAGAGCTGACTCCCCAGATGAAATTTTTATTACATTTAATTGGCTAATAATTTTTGGTCACGTGGAAGGCGAGATTTTTGATACTTCCCTCTGATAATTACGTGATATCTGTCAGCTCCCTAATCGCTTTAACACATGAATTTAGAAGACCGGTACAATGTAACTAAATTCAAACAATTATCTAACAATGTAAAGCATAGCATGTTCGTTAAAATATGTCCAAGAACCAGCTACAATTATACGCCGATAGAAAGAGATAGTAAATCAAGAAGTTTAGAGCATTAATGTATCAGAATCGTTTGCTTCAACAAGAGTCTCATAATTCGAATTTCTCGTAATATTTTGAGTTAATTTTTGTATGTTTTATTATATAATTTTGGACCGGGCGTTACTTTTTGGGGGTACTGTACATTATGTGTTTGTTTATAATAATGAAAATTTTAGATATCGTATATACAGCAAATTAAAGTCGCTAATGTTGCGTGCCGCGCCTTGAGAGCAAAAAATAGAAAAGAAGCCACTAATTGAAATACCGTGGTACTGTGGGCTAAATTGTATAGCAGAATATGTGTTATAAACACAATCTTTTCAAAACAAACACAAGTCCTTCTTGCAAAAAAATCTATTACATGTTTTAGCACACGTTTCTGTATCTCAAATATGATTATTTGGCTATAAAATTCAAAAAAAAATTATTTGCTAAGATTGTGAAATAAAAGTTATTTAAATTAAAGATATTGTTTGAGCTCAATAAGCGGATAGAACATATTAATGATTAATGGATGTCTGCTTTCATTCTCTAGCTTTATTTGACTATTAAAAAGAGAAAAATCTCTTTCCCATAATAAATAAAAACGCACAGTCAATATAAAAAGTTCACGGATGCTATTAGAATAGATGCACCTGTATTTTTGTTTTTGTAGATAAAACAAAAATAATAAGAAACCAGAGAACAAAAATAAAAGATTGAAAGAACAGAACGAAGGAACGAAGTAAACGAAATAACAAAGTAAACGAAGTAAAGAAGTAGCAAAATAGCGAAGTAAATAAAGTAACGAAGTAACGAAGTAACGAACGAACAAAAGAACGAACGAACGAACGAACGAACGAACGAACGAACGAACGAACGAACGAACGAACGAACGAACGAACGAACGAACGAACTAATGAATAAAAATTCGTAAAAGCATACAAAATAAAATCCAGAAAGATTATTTGCTAGATTATTTATTCACTAAAACAAAATTAAATAAAGGAGAGATTATCATATAATAAATTGTTAAAAAGGACATAAATCATATTTTGTCATAAATAGTTGTGATTGCATTAGAGGTGAAGATATCAGTGATGTTATTGGAGTATTAGATGTGTTCGGCGCTGAAAAAATATCATTATTATCATTATTGATATCAATCATGTAACTTTCACCACCTTCAGCGAAGAAAATAGGAAGTTGATTGTCGTTATGATTTAATTTATCATTATTGAACACGTTGTCGAGCGAATTTTGAGCTAAATCATTAGTATAGTCTTGTTGATCATAGTCTTGTTGATTATAGATTGTTGTATAATCTTGTTGATTATAGATGGCTGTCATAAAGTTATTATTATCGTCTTGATTATTATAAATGGCTGTCGAAATTGCTAGTGTTAAAGATGGCAGTATTGGTTCTTGAGGTGAATTGGAAGTTAAAGATGGCGGACCGTTAATTTTAATTGTTTCTTGAGGTGAATTGAAGGTCAAAAATGGCGGCCCGTCAATTTGTATTGTTTCTTGAGGTGAATTAGAAGTTATTGTACAAAACTTAGTTGACGAAATAGATACATATTTTTTCTCTTCTCGAAAAATAAACTCTTTATGGCTTGAATTTTTTGCATGTTTTGGCTTGTATTTATAATTAGGATATGTACGTTTATGATTCTCGCAAGCTATTTTCTCCAATATTTTGAAGAAATACTTGACTTCGCTTGATAACTTTCGCCACTTTAAACTGCATTCCTTTGCTGTTTCTTTCACTTTTGATTTGATGTTTTGATTACATAAACGTAAATGCGCTTCATAATCTCTTCGGAAAATTACCCAGCTATTTTGTGGCCGTGGTGGATTATGACGTTTTTTTACTGCTGATTTGGTTAATTCGTTAATCGAAAGAGTTAATTGGTAAGGGCATTGTTGTAAAATCTGTCTTTCATTATCAGTTAGATATTTGTAATTAGTGTTGAGTTTAGTCATTTTTAAATAATTATATGCAAAAAAGAGTTGAAATAAAAAGATTATTTTATATATATTTTTTTAATAACGATAATAATGAATATAATATAATATTTTTTTATAGACTACACTATAGCAATAAAAAAAATAATATAATATTTTACAGTCGTCTATGAATTCCCACCGCATTTGGATTAGTGTCTATTATCATAATAAAAATCCATCAACTGAGTGCATCTATGTACATCCCAATCCGTAAATAACAGCCAATAAGAATGCATAAATTTTTGATCAATCTGGCAAAACAAAAAAAAATGAAAAATGCGAGAATGTAAAAAATACAAGAAACAAATACCTAAATCTGGTCTGGAGTGCTAATAAAAAATGTCGGGAAGACAATTTTACATATAATCTTGTTTCTACCTCTAATTCTAACCTTAAAACCAACTTTAACATTAATCTTAATTACTGTAGAATTTTCCGAAAACACACTAACCATATTGGAATTTTATATATATTTGAGATTACACTGGGATGTAATGCATAGTATTATAGTACACATGTATATTATACATGTGTACTATAATACTATAATATATGTTCAGTAACAAAGTGAAGATCAAGAAAAATGGCAGATCATGTGATTCCAATCCCGATGCATAATATTAAATAGAATTTCAGTTAGGATTTAGAGTATTATAAATAGTAAAATTTCGCAAGGAATATTTTTTATTAAAGTACAAAAGATAGTTTCATAGGCAAAATTTTAAGATTCAAGCTATTTTTCAAAAATAAGCATTTGTTTTGAATTTTTGCGTTGCACATTGATCTTGCGATTTGATTTGTGCATAACGGCATCGGAATTAGAATCACATGATCTGCCCTTTTTTTCGCTTCACTTTGGTACTTTAAATCATCACAATCACAAACATCAATGATGAAAAAACTATCGTTATTATTCCAAATTATCGTTATTTTTTGTGATCGTAGGTTCGTGTTAGGTGTCGTCATTTTTTTATTATAAAGAAGTAATAAAGGTGCCGAATATGGTTGCTTAATTTTTATGCGTCACATTATTTTTAGCACCTGTGTGCAGGATTAGAATTCGAGTCTTGTTTTGTTTGTCCGCTTTAGGCAAAAATTCATTATTGTGATGTAGTGATCCAAGCTAGCCAGTAATACCAGCTTCAAGCCGGCTAGCCGACTTAGCTAGCTGATATTCTGAAAACTAGATCAGCTGGCATTATATTTACTTTCTAAATTTAGAATAATATTACTATAAATGTCTAAATTCAGTTTTTTTATAATAAGACAACAGCATTAATATTACAATAATAAATTTATCACGAGTGCGAAAAGTTACTCATATCGAGGGTATAATAAGGGAAGGTAGCTTATTTTCGGGTTTACGTGATCCAGGCAAAAATCTCAAAATAAAGAGTTAGGGATCAAAGTTATATGTAAAATGGCCCCACCAATATGTTTATTTAGAGCTCAAGCTATATTTTTTTTTGCGTCTACCGGTACATTGAGGGTGGAGGGTAACTTATTTTCGGAATTAGTCTTTTGCATGGCTCTCGGGTCTAAAAAAGGTGTTATTTTCGGAACTAGCCATTTCACAGATTTTGGTTGGAAGGGGGAGGGTTTGCTTATTTTCGCGTGTTGTTTATTTACAGCATAAAATATCTACTTTAAGTCATTTTCTGCCAAGCTTTATAACTTAAAAAATATATAAACAAAATAATTTAGCCAAATGATAAGACTATAATTTGGCTAGTAATTTTATTATTACATAGCTCTGTTACAAGTTATAAATTTTAATTTTATAAAATTGGCCATATCAAAGCTTATTGGTAGTATTACTTGCATTATTATATAATGCAAAATACCATGACTAATAAAATATCTCGAAATTTTGGCCGTTCAAAAAAAGTTGATGGTTTATGCTGTCCCCACTGTATCAATTTCCAAATATAGATATGTATTACCATATATAATAATTTTAGCCAATGAAATTGAAGATGAGTTTTTATAGTAAATTCATTATGCAAATCCGCTGAAATATAGAAAGTATAAAGCCAGCTCAGCGAGCTAAGCCGTCTTAGAAAAAACCAGCTAAGCCAAGCCAAGTTTTTGTATCTGGTTTGGGACACTATTGTGATGTTGCAAGTCATTTAAAAAAATGTGGCATTTAATCGTAACAACGTTAATACATTGTGTTTCTCTAACAGTCATGTGGCATATAAGGTTTAGAGTTTATTTTTAGGAACTTTTACCATTAGTTTGATTTAGTAATACAGTATTCAAAGTTGCGATTCACGGTCAGCCGATATCGATATGTTTTCCAATTTTTTTAATTAACAGTACAGTATTAACAATATTTTGATTAGATACAATATTAAAGTCGAATATATAATTAAACAAAATGGATTCTCGTTATTAACAAAATTCAAAAAAACCATTTAATAAAATACAAAGAAATAGCACGGTTTGATTTTTTCTTTTATAATACTTTTTTCAATAAATGCATGACTTTATTCTAATAAACTAAATCAATGAAATACAGGAGCATCCACTCGGACCTAATTACGACAGAAACAAGGTTTCCAGCCAACCAATCTGGAATTTCTACAAATATTTATCGCCAAAAAATGAAAAACTTCTAGCGGCGCTTAAGTGTATTTTTTTTAAGTATGCATAGTAATAACTTTTTGTGAATAGAAATTAAAATGATATGTTCGATCATTTGACTTTTTATATAATTCATAATGTTAGGCGAAGAAACTTTTAACTCGGCTGATATTCTATAGGATAGTAAATCATTAGTTATAAAATAGAAAAATTTTGATTTATTATTCTCTGAAATATATCACCAATTTTTTCGCAATATTTGTCGTTAAAGTACCAAATATTTAGCATTCGCAATGATTCCTTGCTAAACTTTCATTAGAACAATTTATTTTTGGTCATGTAACTTTGAAATACAAACATTATTATTTTACGTCAAGTAGCTAGGGCAAACACACATGTAAAATTCTCGACACTATTATACAACAATACAAGTATACTTTGTCTCATGTGTGGACACGAACCATTTTTGACATACGTATTTGATATGCATTCGCTAATGATCGTGAGGGTGAAGGAAATATTGGTTTTCATATCAGAATTGGTTTTACCCCGGCCGCCCGGATTTTTATTTTTAAAAGCTAAAAATTTTTCAATCAATAAAATTTTACTCGACATTGTTATTGTTTCACAACCTGGCTAACCCCCCCCCCCCCCCGGGGATCGAAAATTTTATATTAAATACGCGGGTACTGTACTATGTATAATTAATAAATCGTGATTTATTAAATATAAAATTTTCCGAAACCATTTTTATATATTAAGTCGTATTTTTTAATAGCGAAGTTTCATCTTATATTCTTTTAAATATTAATATTCGAAGGCATAATCTTTGACTATTTATTTTTCTATTAAAAAAAATCGATGTACCTCGTAGCAGCATATACAGTAACTTTCGAATCTCTTTTCAATCCAAGTTTAATAAACCCAACACCAGTATTCTTCGTTATCTCACCAACCTCTTCGTAGTTATACCAATGATACTCGGACAATTGAAAATACTTCCACTTTTTAGTTCCAACACCGTTTACCGTTTTGATAACTTCTTTTTCCTCCTCGATAATGTTTAGTATTTTACGGTACCCCATTGCCGACTTTTTGGTCTCCCATGTTTTCACGGTTTTCACGCTATACTAAAGCGTATCATAGAGTGCTTCACCTCGGGTGCGGGAAGGGATATGAGTTCACTCGAGCTTAGGATAGAACGGCGAACGCGTCCTTCCTTGGCCTGGTGCTGCGTCGCCAATTTCAACACTGTAACATTTTTGCATGCTGAAATATTGTTATTATTGTTAATATTATTAAATTAAAATTATAAAACGTAAGAATTGAAATGGTTTCGTTTAATAACAATGTTTCTAGGCGACAAAAAATTTGAGTTATCTTCCTGTTACACAATTTGCACCAAAGAAGGGACAATGAGAAAATCCATCCAATAAATCTACCCATAGTTATTATATTAATAAATAAAGCATATCTGAATCTCAAAAAACCGTCTTCTCTAACCGATTCCGTTGAAAACAGTTTAATTGACATATTCAAGTCATTTTTTTGTTATTGACAAGAAAAGGGCATCAAGATCTTAAATTAATTCGTTCTTTACGGACGAGACCATGGGTGACTAATATTATTGTTCTTGTCAGAGATTACACTTTATTGAAATAAAAAAAACTACAGGAAATCACAAAAATGCATAGGCTAGTGAATAACATGACTAGAACAAGTTTATGATTTTGGTGGTCCTACTAACGCAAGCGACGGCGTTGAAAAATGTTACTGATAAAGAATCTCAACTTCGTTGTCTCGATGAAACTTAGATAGGTTTTTGTCGCGCGTCAATTGATCCATAATTTTAGAAACCAGACAATGAACAGTATAACTACTAATAACGTTATACATATATTTTTGATTCAAAAATAGCTGCATATGTAAGACAAAAAATTTCATCCACAGTTTTGTTCTCTATAACAGATCCAATGCCTTCAATATATAAAAATCCAGGCAGCACCTCGAAATTTCTTCGCTATACCAAAATATTCGTTATATACAAATTCGTTATAGAGCACTTTAACTGTACCATGAAATTCAAGGAAATCACCAAAAATCCCATTTTTGAAAACTGCTTATATTACATTACTCTTCGTATATCCATTTACTCTTTTTCACAGACATTGCTTTTCTTCTAGACATTCATTATTATGTCTCACCAACTAAACCATGTTCGGCATTCGATAATGAGATCTTGATCAATGCTGAAATTCCCTGGCAAGAAACCAACATTGCAAAGTGGGAGATCTTTAATAAAACCGACTTAGATACGAATAAATATGTTTATGTGGATACCCTAAATTACGGCGCTTCTTCGTATTTTAAGATGTCTTCGACGTTTCATGGTTATAAATCTTACGCTGGTGTGGTGGGCACGATTTACATATCAACTCAACGAGGGTCGACAGTCTCCCTCAACCCGGACCATTTTGTCTCTTATAGGCAGCTGTGTTGCGATATGCTTCTCTCTTTTTCGTATATATGTTTCTATTAACGATACGATCCCGCAGCAGATTGAAAAATTGAACAATGAAATTAGAGACTATGAACAGTTACAAGAACAACAGCAACAACCCTTATTGATGATCTTCGTCTTTATAGATTGTGTATTCAACCTTCTTCCTCTAGTCTTTAACATCCCGCTTCTAGTCATTCTTGCCAAGCTATTAATCTGCCTCTCCGTGTTTTGGACACCACGTTTTCGAAAATTATTACAAAAAGAAACCCCATTAGTGTTCTCTCTTGTTTTGAACAGCCCGATCCTCCCCCTTTGTATTATTTCCTCACCTGTTTGGAAGTTGGTTTCCATAACAGTGGCTACAGTTTGGACCAGTTTGCCATTGGACTTTGTGAGTGTTGATCTGCACATCTTGGCGACACTCACCATAATGAAGGAATTTTGGTTATGAAAATTATCAAGAAGTTGCTTTTCTTTGAAAGAATCATGTACTAAAAATCTTGGGTACTGTTTATTTGGTGTGGAGAATCATTTCAGGCCTCTGCAGTTTATTAATAGCTCGGGCTAAAAAATACGAAGCTTCTGTTAACAAGTCAATAAACGAACCAACCAACACCGCAGAAAGGCTCGCACCTTTGGGAATTTTCATCTACGCTTTAATCAAACTGTCTGTTTGGGTGACGGGAGTGCGGGCCATTTGGTCTATGATCTTTGCATCAGGATCTCCACCACCAAATCCTGCAGCCTTTGTTACTGTCTCCCCAGAATTCTAATGGTGCTTGGTTTTGTCATATATCTTTGTTTTGACATTATTGGTTCCTTAACGCTGTTGATTTCGTACTATGGTCCTTTTTCTACACGAGCCGTCGCGTTGTATCTCAACTCGCTTCTTCTTATATTTTTTTATATTTTGCTTGGATCCCGCTTTCGAGACCAAATCAAAGCCGCTACAAAACACCATGTAAATGCATTGCTTCTGTGGAAGCTGCGTGATATAGTGCTGATTTCATCACTCTTCATCATTTGGCCGGGAATTGGATTTGGATATAAATCCCAGCATTGGCTCTCCCAAGAGAAATGCAATTCAGCTGAAGAGTACTGGAGCCTTTTCGGACTTGTAGGCACGATAGCTGGATTAATTTATTGCAACCTTTCAATTTTACAAAATACAGTGTCGATTTATAAGCTTTGATAGTTTATTAGTATTTGCACAATATTTTAAAAATCCTTATTGTGATACCCTTTCAATTAAAATTGACTTAATTGATTTAAAAAATTTAGCTTTTTGTAAACATGGATAGTCTAGAAAATTGATATTGAAGTATTAATAAATCAAGAGGATTCATTCAGGAAAAGTAATCTTTGAAAAAATTGAAACCTTAAAAGCTAGTAACTAGTATAACCAACCAAGATGCAGAATACTTATTGATCTGTAAACTATTATCAGTACCAAAGATATTTTTAATTGAAACAAGCCGAAGAAATTTGTAAAAGAGAGAAACAAAGAGATGGAGATATACTTGCAGAAGACAAAAAAATAAAATATAATAAAGCCTCCTTAGGAAACAGCGTATATAGATACAATCTTCAAGCCGTGAAAGCTTCTTATAGTTGCAATACCCTGGTCTATCGGAGCTTATCCGAGAACGTAGAGAATGAAAAATCATATATGATAGTCTCTACCGAGAGAAAGCTTCACTCATTGGGCTTGTCGAGTTTGTACTGTTTTTAAGAGTACCGGAAAAAAGATTATGGTAGCATTTACCACACTCAATGTTTATATGCAACTCGCTCGGGATTGCTACCTCAGCTGGAACAATCCATGATCTCAATGGATTATCGTAGACCTGTATTATTTTTCGTGGTGTGGTAGATTAGAGCGTGGAAAAAGTAATTTTGTCGAGTTCGGGAATATGAGATCACGACCTCTGAATAGCATATAGTACCCTAGCCATGGCAAAAAAAGGGTTGGATCATGTGATATTTGTGTATGTCTGGAAAAATTCTACGGTAATAAAGATTATTGTTAAAGATTAATTTAAAGGTTAGGATTAAAGTTAGGGCTAGAGCTGGAGCCAAAATTATATGTAAAATGCCTTTCAGACATTTTTTAGTGTATTTTTTACATTTTCGTTTTCTTGCGTCGAATCTATTTTGCCGGGCTGATCAAAAAAATTATGCATTTTTATTGGTTTGTGCCATCATTTGCACGTGATCTGACCCTCTTTTACTGTACCCTAGCCATGGCGAAAAAACGGGAAGTCTACGGACAGTGCATAGGGACAGTGCAAAATCATGTGATCTTTCCGGCCAAGTGCCGGACAGTGCTT